TGTGTGTGGGGGGGGGTAAATTTTCTCATGGGCTTCTCACAGACTTTTTGGGTTGTTGTATGAATATGTTAACTTCTTATTCTTCGTCGCGTCCGGATCTAGAATCCATCAAATGAGGCAGTGCCAGTATATGTGAACTAAATTTGAACAGATTCATGGTGCAACTAATTAAGTATGCAATACTTACTTAAAACCTTTTCAACACAGCCTAGGTTCATCTGGATTGTTGAAAGAGTTGATCAAATTTAAAAAAAAATTGAGCAAATCTGCTGGGTTTAGATAGAGCTGTAATGTGGATGTAATCAAGGGGTAATGGTCTCTTGATGTAATGAATTTATGATAACGACAGAAAACAGTAGACAACGCTGCTTTAAATCTGTCTATATCGTTTACAGGTGTAGAGGTAATTGTGGGCAGATATAGGGCTGCTGTTTCATCAATGAAGAAGAAAACCTATGACTTTTTGGACCACAGAAAGCAAGAGTTCGATGAAGACTTTGCAGAATTTGAAAAAAATATCTGTGATGTACACGTGAGTTGGATAAAAGTACTTGAGTCAATGTATGTAAGACAGCAGTACTCTAAATCAATTACCATTTTGGAATTGTGTACTTAGTTTAAGGTTGATTAAAGCCGAAAGATGCTAAAACTTTTTTAATCAATTAAATTATGCCATTCACAGATGAAACATTTATATAGTGCTTAACTTCATTGAAGGTTTTTCACCATACTTACATGCCTCATTCTACGCGTATACTGGGTTATTCCTCGAATATTCCATTAGGTTCAAATCTATGCATTCCCAATTAAGTTTGTGGCTGTGAGTTTGCATCGAAATACGTGTTTCACAGGTACAACTGCGTGCGTTCATTGGGGAGCGCTTTACCGGGCTACACACCACCAGGGCGGCGCTGCAGTTCCTCAGCATAGTAGAGAGGCTGGGCCTACCTGAGCTGGGGCAAGAGGAGAGGTATGCGGCAGCACTGACCATGTACGGTCGTGAGCTGGACATGGTCAGCAAGCTGTATATGAGGCAACGCTTGCAGCCACCCCTGGAAAGAGACGTTCCACCTGTGGCCGGTACGTCTTATACATGCTACTACATTTACGTAGCGAGTGAAGATATTTATGTACGGTATCAAGTATCTTATCTCGATTTACTCGCATTACTGAATCTGATCCCAACAGTTGGGTGCGTTTGGGTGCACTTTGGTCAGCCTGTATATGAGAATGAAGACATTAGAACAACTGATAAAACAAAAGCGGTTTGCAAGTTATGCAAAATTTTGATGAATTACGGCACAGCGTGGTAGTTCTCCTGAGTGTATTGCGATATGTGTCATATATCGTGAAATGTGTATCATAATGGTATGGATTGTATCGTGAGCTACCCTTTCTGTTTGCAATTTTGCCAAGCCACTCGCATTTTGCGAGTGTGTGAGTGATAATTTCGGACCTTGGCATGTGTGCATGTGTCTGTGTACTTGAACTTGTCCGTGAAAACCACAGGCACCTGGGCCGTTTCAATAATAAAATGATAGTAAGTAAACACGAATTGTATTTACTACCAAAGTCCAATGGTTATCTACTCTATCACCCATTATTTGTTATAATTCTCTGCAAATGACTGGAATGCTCCTCTACAACACACAATCCCACTGCACGCATGCCACTGTGCACGCACGCACACACAGACACGCACGCACGCACGCACGCACGCACGCACACACACACACACAGAAAGATAGAGGCTCTGCAATCATTAGATTTCTTAATCTTTCTGTAAGTTTATGCACAGTGCTATGTGAGAGGCATTTGAATTGTATTGACATGGAATTATAAGTCGATAGCGAATACATAAACATTACGACTTCAGTAGTAAATACAATTCGTGTTTATTTATGTGTAGCGATGTGTGTATGATAACAGGGGCGTAGCTACGGGGGGGGGGCAGGGCCAAATTTTCTGTGCCCCCCATGTGCCCCCTCCCCACTGAAAATTCATGCTTAATAAAAAAAAATTGAATTAAAAACAATGCCGTTAGAACAGTATAATACAAAGAAAAGTTATATATTGTGCTCCCCGAAAATGTAAGGCCCCCTCCCCCCCCGCGGAAAAAATCCTAGCTACGCCACTGTATGATAACCATCATGCTTATACAACAGGTAAGATACAGTGGGTGCGACAGCTGCATAGACGGATAGAGGAGCCAATGAATGTGTTTAGAGAGAAGCCAGACTTGCTTGCCAGAGGAGAGGCAGCAAGAATCGTGAAGGTGTTCAACCGAGTTGGCAAAGCGTTCTTTGAGTATGAGCTTTTGTACTATGGAGCATGGATTCAGCAGGTAAATTGAACAAAGTTGATAGATGGCTAGTATCCCACAAATGCAGCGCGTATGATTGTGGTTGCACTGTTACAGTTCTGTGTGCACAAAGAGGTATCTTGATATCTGTTTTAACTCAAATGTAGCACTTATGACACTCGTGAAATGATAAATTTAGAGGGAAATCTCATTCATTGTCTACATTTTCTCATACGATTGGTCGGTGCGCATAGTATCTATTTAGAAAGTGGTGTATAATGTTGTTTATGAGAGATTGCTACAGCCACTGCTGCTATAACAAACGTGTAACTAATGGTAATGATTATAGCTCATGCCTGCCTTCCCTGTGAACCATCTGATTTTCATACTTCTTTAATTCAAGGGCGTTATAAATGTTCTAAACTGCTTGCAGGAAACTTTGTTATTTGTTAAAAGATGGGATACTTCTAGCCATAAATACTTGTGAAAAAAATATTTGTCTATCACCCAGGAATATCGCCCAGGAGTGCAGTGTTATCTTGCCTTTAATTGTCTCACGATTGCATGTGTGAAATAAAATGTTTATAACTTTGCACTGCGAATTAGAGTCAGTTTTATTGCTGATAATTTCACGTACATAGAAACTTTATATCGTACTAATATTTATATAAACGTTCTTGAGCAATTTGACGTGAAGTGTAATTTACAATTTCTGACCTTCGTGATAAGTAGAGTACACCAGAACTTTTTCTTCTTAGTTCAACTTGCGTTATGCTAACACTTGCTATCTCGAAGTTATCGTGGCGTTTGCTTCTGTCAGCTTAAGGCAGTCATTACCTGTAAGAGATCTGCAGCAATTGCGTATACTGGAAACTTAATATCCCACGCACGCCATTACTAGTTGAGACATCACACCGTTTCTGCACGTATTAATAGTGAAGTCGATATATTAACTCCTGCTCCCTGTTTTTTGTCCGCAGTTAGACGTAGTGAAGACGTATCTCCAGCGTCCATTGCTCGTGTGGGATTCGGAAAGCCGCGAGATGCTTGTTAACATGGACGCAGACGTCTTCATGGTCATCAGGGAGTGCGAATGCATGGTGCGCATGGGTCTGGAAATCCCACACGCTGGCAAGCAGTTGAAGGCGAGCAAGGGCGACTTGAGGAGAAAATATGAGCAGCTGAGGGTGAGTGTCTATGCAACACATGTCTTCTCGAGGAACTCTACCCTGTCCTTGTACAAACTGGATTTTGGTTTTGATCGAAACTCGGCGGTATCTCTCGCGTAGGGCGCGACGCATTTTCCCCACATTGTTTGTGCAAGACGGTTCGTCACAGCTTACGTAGACGCGTGCACTCCACACTAGGGCGAAACTGAGAGACTTGGTGGCCTTGTCTCAGGTCACCGATGATGGTCAACTACATGTCTATATATATATATATATGTACATACATAGGTGCACGGGTGTGGCGCATGCTCACAGGTGCACCACAGGTGTTTCACAGGTGCACCACAGGTGTTTCACAGGTGCACCATGATGACGGCAGATGATATCGTGTCTTCGTAGTGGTGAGGCACCGTTTTCACCTTCTCGGTGTCTACCCGGTAGCGCGTCCTCGTCAACAGCGGTAGGAACAGTCCCAGTATTCCGGAAGAGAAAAAGATGGCTCCCATCACCATCATTGCGACGTCCGTGTTGCCGGTCGCGTCGTATATGAAACCTAGAGAGAGCGATTTAAACGTAGTGTTGTTATTCCACGTATGTGATTATTTATTCTTACTTTGCCCTATCATGCAACTTGGTTTACTCTGAATTTGCATTATCGTCACCTGGTTCGGCTCCAGATGTAATCAGACTACAAATTTAGTTTTACTGTAGGCATAATATAAAAATGGTTGCAGTTATGTGCACCATGTCTGTCAGCAGTAAACAAAGAAAAAAAAAGTTTTGATTCACTCGTGTTCTTCTCACTCGCTAGGAACGTGATAACCAATCTTTGATCACCCCTCGTACTTGTGACGTTTAAGTACACTTGGGTTGGTCACATATGACTGCATGCCATTGCACTGGTAACTCTCGTGCAATATTGGATTGTTTACTTGAAAGTAAGATCAGACTGGCTACTTTTAACACTATAGGACTGGCCGTTTCTACGCGCCACCAGTCTGGTTAGCGATACGGTCGTATCATATCAATATCAATCATTAATCATATCAATAATTCTTGCTTCACCTTTCCCCTGCTATCGCATGCTAGTCAGCATGTATATCACATATTCCATTCACCTATCTATGATCTGAATAACATGTTCGACTTACGTAATTTAACAGTCATAATATGGACCACAAGTCCCGCTTACCTGCCAGTTGTCACATCAACAACAATGTTATCAGCCATCATATCTATCATCAGACACAGTTTTGACTACTGTTTTTCTACTACTGTTGCTGTTGTTGCTTTCTCTCACCTACACCTGATATGGGTATTAGTTCTTCTTACCTATCAGTTGACATGACTGATCGACTCTTTACCTTATCTACACCTGACATGGACTTCGTTTTCCTATAGCTATCTGTGATTTTAACCACCTGATTACGTTCCCTCATTAATACCTGACACGATAATCAATTCCCGTACCTATGAGTGATCTTCACCACCTCAACCCTTTCCCTCATCTGTACCGGACACGACAATCAATTCCCCAACCATTCCCCTTAGCTATGAGCAATCTTGACCCCCTCAGCACTTACTGCTTGCTACGCGAGTTTTAATTCCCCTTAGCTATAAATATAAGTGATCTGACCACCCAGCACTTTACTTGCTTGCTATCGCGCGAGTTTTAATTCCCCTTAGCTCTATTAGCAATGTTGACCACCCCCAGCACTTAGCTGCTATGCTAGGGCGCGAGTTTTAATTCCCCTCTTAGCTATAAAATATAAGTGATCTCTACACCCAGCACTTCTGTTGCTCACGCGAGTTTTTTAATTCCCTGTGAGCTATATAGGCAATTGTTGCACGCACCCAGCATTACTAGCTTGCTACGCGAGTTTTATTCCCCCTTTAGCCTATTAGCATTCTTGATCCCACCTCAGCGGCACTTACCTGCTTGCCTAGGCGGTTTTTATTCCCTCTTAGTTATAATATAAGTGATCTGAGACCACCCAGCACTTACTGCTTGCTAGCGATGTTATTCCCACTTAGCTATTAGCATGTTGACCACGCCGCATGCACTGTACTGCTTGGCTCGCGAGTTTTAATTCCCTTAGCATGAGCATCTCTGACACCCCAGCACTTACTGCGTTGCTACCGCCAGTTTTTTAAATTCCTTTGCGCTATTAGCATCTTGACCCCCCAGCTTCTGTCTTCTGCGCTAGGCTGACTTCATGCTTACCTATGAGCAATCGTACCTAGCTATCAATGATCTTCACCACCTCAGCACGTATTGCTGCGCGACCTTCATGCTTACCTATGAGCAATCGTACCTAGCTATCAATGATCTTCACCACCTAAGCACTTACTGCTGCGTGACCTTCATGCTTACCTATGAGCAATCATACCTTAACTGCTATCATGATCTTCACCACCTAAGCACTTACTGCTGCGTGACCTTCATGCTTACCTATGAGCAATCTATCGCTTGTTACGCGACCTCCATGCTTACCTATGAGCAATCTTCATACCTCAGCATTACTGCTTGCTGCGCGACCTTCACGCTTACCTATGAGCAATCTTCATCACCTCAGCACTTACTGCTTGCTACGCGACCTTCACGCTTACCTATGAGCAATCTTCATCACCTCAGCACTTACTGCTTGCTACGCGACCTTC